CATTTTTTCAGAGACAAGAATTGTGTAGCCACGGTTGTAACTTGTAAGGATATGAGACACTTACCATGCTTTTCCATGGCACATAAAAGTCAGATACAGCAGCAGCAAGATAAAACATTGAATTTGGACCGTCACCTTTCAATGCCGTTGCAATCAACCGCAACATCTGTAATCCAAAACATTCACAAAAAAAAAGTAATCTCAGATAAACCTCTTTTAAAGAACTCTCACAAATTCTATGGCGCATTTCTCGTGCTTTCGATTACACGGATCAAGACAAAACATACAGAAAATGAACGATTCAAGAACCTGGAGATACTCGTATATGGTTGAGAATGGGAGTTTAAGTAAACGACCTTCTGCTATAGCCTGCAAAGTTAATTGGCAAAGTTATTACACAATGGACTCAAAGGCACAAAACATAAAGTCTAATACATACAGCTTGCTGGTCCATAACAGCCATTTTCACAGCTTCCAAATGTGATGCATGAACTGGCAAAAACCAAAAGAAAAAGATGAATAAAGACACATGATTTGTTATCGTACCAACTAAAACACGAATTTGAAGAAAGAGAGATTCTAAAGAAAAAACCTTGAATGTTAGTCTTATCTGGAAACTCAAAGCATTTGAGGAATGGATCATCAGGAAGAGACCGGCAATAAGGTTGGCAAGTTCCACTAAAGATTTCGAATAAAAACCGATACAAATAAGCACCATTACCACAACCAAAAGCTCACTTCTTTGTTCAACTAAACACAGAACACAATTAATGTATATACCTCCTATAGAGAAATATCACAGCATATCCAGCCTTCACAAAATTCCTTTACACCAAATCAAAAACAAATTTGGATGTTAAAACGAAGCAAACGCGTATTCTAAGAGTTTTCGAAAAGAAAACTAAAACTTACTCAGTAGACGCAGCACCTCGATTTCCGGAGCTGAAATTATCGATATACCTTACACAACGTTGCTCCAATGGCACTGAAGTACCACCTGAAGTAACACATACGATCCTCCTACCTCCTGAATAGTTATTGATGAACAGATTGAGCTTCTCTACAATCTCATCATTGTTCTTCAGAGGTGGAGACGATTCGAAGAAGGAACTAATTTCATCTTCAACAACAACTTCTCCTAATCCAGAGATCGAACTCATTCCAATCCTCTAAATTCAAAAACAGAACTTACTGAATCAATCAACCATAAAGACTCTACCTTTAGATCCAAAACTAATTTAAAACGGAATCAATCAACCATAAAGACTMWWWCAACATCAACTCATCAAGAGAAGCAAATGCCAGCGAAATGAAAGAACTTTCTCAGTGATTAGAC